CATTGAAATGTTTATAGTTTGTTTTTGCACATCTGTTGTGAAGAAGTCTCTTTAGAGTCTACTTTCATGATTTATCAAGTTCCAATAAAATATGGCCATAAGGATTTCAGAACCTGTATGGTGCTAATATTTACCGGCACTTGGAATTTTCTGGTTACATTTCAGTACTGTTATTGCGAGTAACCTTCTACTAGTTGATGAAATTATGAGAGCAGGAATGTCTTCATTGAAGGGATAGAATAACAAAAGTTTACTTCTTGAGGTATGGATGACAGTGACAATTCATTATTAATTAATGATACATTTGGTACCCTAAAATCTCACTGTTAAGAGTTTAAAATCTGAAAATTGGCAGACCCATCATTTGTTTTATGCCCATTCAAATTCTGCTATTCTTAGGGTTGGTTCCTGTAATTTTGGGGAAAGGTTAGCCATGTGACCTTGAGCTGCAACAGGCCTATTATTTACATTGAAACCTCATTCTGAGTGTAGCACTAAGTTTGAAGAACAGTATAATTGTTTGTCAATTGTGTGGCTTACAAAATAAATATTAGGCTTTTTTGCAGTTAGATTAGCAGATGTAGAGTACCTTTATACTTGTGTATTTTTTTCTGATTTTCTGAAGAAGAACTTGCTAAAAATTTGAAGCTCATCTAGTCCTTTTGAAAAAGGGTCTCAATCCTCAAATTTTATCCTATCAAAATTTTTACTCTCATGATTAGGTTTTTAAGTGCAGGATTTTAAGGCTTATTATTTTGATTTTTAGCAAGCATATGGCCTTCATTTGAGGTCCCCTTTTATCTGTTATAATCTATTGCAGAGTGGTTCCTCCAAGATGTAGCCATGTGTGTTAAACTGATCTTTACCCCACTGTCAAGATGTTAGCGTCACCTTCATCAAGTAGATAAGCTGGTCATGCATTCAAGTTGAAAGGAACAGAGGAAATTTTCGAAAAAAAATTCTACATTGTTGTTGAAATATAGTCACATCACAATTATTTGGTTTATTTTCTAAACCACTAAAGTGATCACCAGCTAATTTCTTCTTAAAGCTTTTAAATATGTTAAATACTCACAATTTTGCAATTCAAAACTGTGCTCAGTCCATATGATCTGTGAGCTTAAGTTTAATTTGATTTGTGGAACTTCCTTTTCGGGTTATGGGGGTTGAATTATAGAGGCTATAAATTATTTGGCTCTTCCTTCTGTTTGTAGATTATGAGGCTTGGGTTAAAGTGGCTTTTTTGGCTCTTTCCTTCCCCAGTCCTACCCCCAGAGTACTTTATTCCCCTTCTGATCCATGATCTCACTCACTGTATTTAAGGTCACAGTTCCAGAATCAACCTTTGGCCCATCATTAATTCTCTCCTTTTCTCTGCGGAAGGGGGCACCCAGTGAAAGGGGTGTATGCCCACTGGGACTCTGAGAGCCTATATCGTAATTTTGTTGTGACTGTCAAACCTTGCTTGTGATGTGTGAGTGACAGTTAGGCTCTGCATATCCATGTAGGAGTCAGTAAGCTTGCATTTAAGTGTTTTCACCACCCGTTTTGAAAATGACACTTTTCTTTTAGATAGCTGATCATGTTAGCTTACCTACTTAGCTTTCCAGGAAGGTACAATCTTGCTGTGATGTGACTGCCAGGAAGATGGAATCAAACCAAAGCTCATCCCTAATGACTCTATTAGTACTTTACCCATGGGTGCACTTGAATAAAATATTCTCGATTCATTTTTCTGTTATGTATTGAGTATATACAGCATCATTCTAAGGAATTATGTTTACTGAAAGCTAAAGTATGAGTTTACTTTACTCAACTGATAAAACACAATTTTTGGTTTGGTAAAGAGCCCATCAGGGCAACTTGACTATCCCCTACAGTTGCATTTTATGATCTAAACCTTTTCTCATGATTATGTATTGAGATTGTAATTTTGTTAGAAGAAAATTGAGATTGGTCATTGTTGGTACTTAAAAGTCTAATAATTACACTGAGCAAAACACATTATTTATGTATGTTCTGTAAAAAACTTTGAGTAGCAGTGTGAGGTCTTGACCTCCAGTTTTCACTGCATTTTTTAGATGGCCATATGGGTTTCATTCAAGGGTAGTGATTCCTTTTAAGTATTTCTCCCTTTTCTGAGTAACATGTATTCAAGGGAGGGTCATTTTCCTAGACCCCCCTTTTGTTACTGTCATGTTGTTTATCCCATGTTACATAATAGGTGGAGGATAGATCGATTGGCTTGGCCGTTTTTCCTAATACCTGCTTAATTTAAGATGGAACACACTGCTAGGAACTATCGAGGAAAGCTTAAGTGGGCAATGCCCACAAGTTAATATCTCGGCCCAGTGATGTGATCATAGCTAGCCGAGTCTAGAGACCTCAAACGTAGTGAAGAGTACAATTTGCCTATGAGTATGGGAATTGAAAGTGATGTGGTTCTGGCGGGGCCAGAAAAACGTAATGTAATAATTTTTTTCACCTTGCACCACCTAAGGATGGAACACACCACTGGGAAATATTTGCTTTTCTTTGGGTTCTTTTAGGCCCCATTCAAATTGATGTGGAAGGATGAAGGGGGATGGTACCCACAGGCCAATGATGCAATAACTGCTAGAATTATAATCAGCAGATCTCCACGCTACTAATAAACAACGATATCTTTTCAAAATCTTCTTATAATGATACACAGTTTAAATAGAGGTTTCGCTGTACACAACCCTTACGTTCAAAATATGCCATAATCATATTTATCTATCGCAAGAACCATCCAACCTTCCCCCTCAACTTTTACCTGCCTGTACGCCTAACAAACATATCAAACGCAGTCTCCTAAGCTCTGTTTACTCCTAGTTTTTTATTAGATTTGGTTAATTAGATCAGTTTGAAGTAAGTGTTAGCAGCCCAAGACCTCCATCCATCTGGATATCGTAAAACCCGAATCTAATAAAAATTGCTTTATTATAGATTGCCTTGAAGATCACACTGTCATAGAAAGTAATGACACACTGTAATATAGAACACAGTTTGACTTCTACAGACAAGTCAGTTGTCTGCTAGCAGACAATGACTAATCTGCAGGTTGCACTGATTTCCAAAATTAACTGAAGGCTCTTAGCCAATGAGAAGGCAGTTAATGAGTTCAATTTATAATAAGTTGACTTAGGTGGGTGGTTAAATGGAAGCTGATTTTCTTGTAGCCTGTGATCATGCCCTACCTATAACTGATCTCTAAACAGTGGAAGCTGTATAAGGGCACACCCTCAGGATGCTAAAAAGGTGTCTAACTGGAGCTGGCCACTTACAGGAATGTAAAAATACAGAGTTTGTATGGAAGTTGAGAAAAATGGGGTTTTGTCAAGGTGGTTGTCAGAAGAGCTGTCCGCTTACAAGACTGTCCCTTTGGAAAACTTGCACAGCATGTCTTTTGTTCATTTTTTTCTTTCCCTCTTCTGGAGGAAGAAACAAATAAATCCACTAAGTTTTGTAAAACGGAACAACTAGGGGTGGGGAGTACTCAAAAAAGCTTTATACAAGGAGGCTCCACCCCTAGGTCTAACCCTAACCCTTTTATATACCATTTTTGACAGAAAAGGAACCCATTCGTATACTTGTATCGGGCAAATGAAATATTTAGCTGCGCTGTCTTTAAAAATATGGATAAATCTCAAAACTAGAATGTTTTGTCGACTTTTTCACAGCAACAAAATGCATCTCCTAACCCTGTTGGGCTTTTTACAGACCAAAATGACAGATTTCCCACCTTTTCTGTATACTTCAACGGGTGCAACCCCTACCCTTTCATATATCTGAAGCCTGAAAAATGTACCCCTTTTGGGCGGAGCCACCCCATATAACTTTACAGAGATCAAACAACAGCCGCTCCCAGGACAAAACAGCAGCTCTTTACAGGATGAACAATCTCGCAAAAAAAACCCTTTTTCAACAAGTATTATTTTTATCATGATCTATCAGAGAACAATACTGAAATGAAAGAATCCCTCACCAAGCAGTGTCTTGGTATATTCCTTTTCACAACAAATTTTAATAGTAATTTGCAGAACACACTTTACAGTATTACTGCGCTTTTCACAAAATTTATATGTGAATTCTGAAGTTCAAAAGCCAACTGACGATTGCATTTTTCGCTGCCGTCAATCATCTTAACGGACCTCTCAGGAAACAAAACTTTACTTTAACGGGTTCAAAAAGGTCATAGTTTGCGATTTGTGAGTGGTGGATTTCGATCCGTTTTGTGTGTTTCTGTGTTTCAAGGATCATTGCTTGTGATCGTAATTATTATTGACGGCAGCAAAAACCGTAGTTGTGAAGGCGGCTTTTGAACTTTAGAGTTCGCATGTTTGTGAAAAGAGCAGTAATGGAAATGCTTTTACATTTTACGACAAATGGGTGTTTAATTCCCTTAATTAAGTACATTTCAAAAAAATGTATCGTTAACCTTTTAAACCCCAATATCTATGTTGTAGTTAATTTTTATCTCAGGTAATTGTTGTTTTTCTTTTGTTTTTGGGTATGGCAATGTATATGTTAATGAGGTTGAAACAAAAGAAAAATAAAAATTACCTGAGATCAAAAATTCACTACAACATCCACTTACAAATAATTATTGTTATCTCCGCCCCCTACTTCTCATAACGTTTCCTTGGTTTCATTATTTGTTAGGAGGAAATTGATGTTGCTCACTCTTGGGACGTAAAGGGGTTAATGTCAAAAACTGCAACAGTAATTTAAGTCTCGACTGCAATATTTCATGAAAGGGACATCCTTTGTGTTTTTCGTAAGCTGCTTGAAATGTCTATTTTGGAACGCAACTTTTCAATGGGTTGGGTTGAAACTTGCATTTCTTCAGTTTTCGAACTAGCAGCAAAGTGTTATGTATGTAAAGTAAAAAGAGTGATACGGCATAACCTCGCGTTGAAACCCTAAACAGTAACTTTTTTAAAATGTTCTATGTTAACACAACGAGGGGGAAAGTCCTACTCATAATAAGTGCGGTAGATTTCCTCTCTCATCCGTGCAATATCGCGTGCTGAAAGCACTTCCTCTTCGCTCAATAACAATCTTGTAGGACCAATGATCAGTCTGTAGTGCAGCCAGTCAGAGAAATAGCGAGGACATGCATCTCCGCGTCGTTGTAACGCATTTCTGACAAAACGCTGTATGAGGGCATCCAGGGAATTACTTTCGTATGCTTCAAGAATCATTTGTTTCGAAGCGCCAAAATCATTCAGCAGCGGATACAGAAGTGCTTCTGTTGGGTCCCCATATTCAGACTGCAAGATGTCTCGCCGGATAGCTTGGTATATACCAATTAAAATGCTCTCCACATCGACTGGAACATTCCTTTGGTACATTTGCAAATTATCGAAGCCATAATCACAGCGTGCTAACGGCACTGGCATCACATCCTGCTCGCACGCGCCGAACAAGTCGTGTAAACTCGGCAGTATGCAGTTTACCTTGTGTCTCTTCCAGTGGATCCTCTGGCAGTCTCTTGAGCAGTAGAATGCATGCTGACAGCCAGAACAACGCTTCAAATCGCCGCTTTGATGACAGTTTGAGTTATAAGAGGACATCTTCGGTTTATCACACGTTCACCGTCTGACAGAGTCGCACGTGGAGTGCGAACAACCTCCCGTTTGTAGCCTGGGGACGAGCTTTGTTGGGGTGTGGAATGTGCGGAAGTGACCGACCGGAGTGTCATGATTGTGACCGTAACCGGAAATGACCGAACCGAGCTCCGTTATTATTATTATTATTATTTTTCTTTTTTCGTCTTCTTTTTCCGCAGTTTCTACTGTCCAGGGCTCTGAGAAGCAACCTGTTTCCTTGGGAGCAGCGCGCGGGGGGGGAGGGGATCATTAGTTACTTGATAGACAGCACTTTTCGTAAAAGGCTGAACTTTTGGAGTTCCTCGATGTTGATGTTTCCAGGGATTTTCTCCTCGTACTTTCCCTGGTCCTTTTTATCTAGGCCAAGTGCTCCATTAGCTACAGGCACAGTTTCTTTAGAGACAAATATTAATAGTACAGGTAATCGAAAAAAAAAAGTCAAGAATTGTCAATAATTAATATTAAGAAACTATTTGCATATAGAATTTATGACATTAAAAATTGATTTAAGAGGAAGGCTTTCATTTTACGTTTGAAAATGATGAGAGATTCACGTTATTTAAAATGGGGTTTTAACGTCTTCCACAATGTTACAGTTCTGTAATAAAACGATCTCTGTCCCGACTTGGTTTTAAAAAGCGGTATATTAAGCGGGGAAGATGATCTGGTCGTCCGACCACTGATATCCCCTCTGGAGATACAATTTGAACTGAGGTAGTTGGGTACCTGACCTGTCGTAGATTTAAAGGCCAAGATGGCGTCTCTTTGATACAGGTGGTATCCATCTCAGGTCTTTCAGGGCTGGAGATACGTGATCAAACTTCCTTGTTCCAGAAACTATGCGAGCAGCGAAATTCTGTACTCCTTGTAGTTTGCGTATATTGCTGACAGAAGTATTCGACCAGACGGACGAGCAGTAATACAACTTACTAAACACGAGAGAATTAATTATTGTTACAAGTATGTCTTTTCTAAATATATGTTTAACTCGGCTAATTTGCCGTAGGGCAGCCATACAAGATGATGCTGTTTTAATTATGTGGTCGTTGAATGAGAGTTTACCATCAAACACTACGCCCAGGTCCTTAACAGAGTCGACGGGTAAAAGTTCTTTACCCAAGAGGGTAAGGCGAAAATCCTGAAGTTTCGATATCATTTGCCGACTTCCATATACAATCAGTTTAGTCTTGTCCGGGCTCAGGAGTAGCCTATTATTAAAACCCCAATTACGTAGTTAAATAAGATCATCGTTCATCGCGGCTATAATGGGTTCACAGTCCTACACTTGGAATGACATAAGCAATTTAGAGTCATCAACGTAGCAGTCCGTGGAAAAGTGTTGTGGGATTGATGGCAAGTCATTGGTGTAAGCCGTAAAGAGTAACGGACCGAGGATGCTTCCTTGGGGAACACCGTACCTCATTAGCAGGTGTTCGGAAAGAGCAGTATTTATACGCACAGCTTGGTACCTGTTTGACAAGTAGCTCTTGAACCATCACAGGATGGCAGAGGGTGACAAGCCAATATCTTGTAATTTTTTAAGCAGAATATCATGGTTCACACTGTCGAATGCTTTGCTCATATCAAGGAGAACTACAGCTGATGTTTTCTTTTGGTCAATTGCGGTGAGAATGCGATCAGAAGTGTAGATCAGTGAAGTCTCGGTGGAATGCCACTTTTTATTACCACTTTGATGGGCGGAGAGACGATCGTTCTCTACCAAGTAGGGCATAAGTTGATTTAAAGCGATACGCTCGCATAGTTTTGAAAGAACAGGTAATAGGGATATAGGGCGGTAGTTATTTGGCTTTTCGTGATCGCCTTCTTTCAACACAGGGACCACTTCAGCTGTTTTCCACTCAATTGGAAAGGTATTACTTGCGAGGAGCTCGTTAATTATGGACGTCACGGATGGCAATGCTTGATCACTCGAATGCTAATTTCGTCAATCCCCGGGGCTTTGTCACTTGGCATTAATATAATTACCTGTTGGACTTCATCACAATTGACGGGTCTAAATGAAAATTGTTGTGAAGGGAGATAGCATCTTGGCACAAAAGATGATTGTGTGAGGTCATAGCTGCATTCATTTGCCAACGAGTAAATTTTTTCAACTATGTTTTGATCGATAGAGTTAAAGAATTCATTAAACTCTAAATATCTCTATAAATATCTGTAAGTCTTATTATTATTATTATTATTATTATTATTATTATTATTATTATTATTATTATCATTCTTATTATTATAAGGTTATGGAAATTCAGTACTTACTATTGACTCTAATAAAGGTAAAATAAGGTAAAGGCACACACGAGCCTAAGGCCTACACGGCCGGGGCTTATACCGGTTTCCGTAGCATGAAGCATGCCTAGGAGTATTGCTACTCCCCCCTGGACGGGATGCTGGTCCATCGCAGGGTTACCCCCCAGTAGTATGTCGCCGGTACCCATTTATACACCTGGGCCGGGTTGTTCGAAGCTAGGTTAAGATAACCCAGGGTTAGTGCAAAATTTGAATTCAAATATGAAAGCTTATAAAGTAAATTCAGTTTAATTCTTTTTGTCAACAAGTTGATTATTCGATGCTCTATGAATATCAGAGAAAATTGTCTGAGAAAATGCTTTTGAACAAAAGAAAAAGAAACCTGGGTTAAGGGCTAATCGGCCTTCGAACAACTGGGCCCAGGGTGAAGAGAGACAAAGTGGAGTAAAGTTTCTCCAGTCTAAGGAAACAACTCGACGGGCGAGGCTTGAACCCGGACCTCCAGCTCCTGAGGTCGAGGTGTTAACTGCTTGGTCACACACGCCTACATTGACTCTAATAACATAACATAAAAACTTTATTCAATTTTCGATGTGTTAAGCTAATACAAGCTTATTGGGAACACTAAGTAGGGTCTGCCGGATTATGCTCGAAAAATAGAGTATTATGCTTTTGGGCGTCATCCGTGAAACTAGGGTATTATGCTCAAAATTATGCTCGACTGGAGGTATTATGCTCAAATTATGCCGGACTAAAATGACACTTCCACCCCACCCCCCCCCCCCCCCCCC